TATTATATTATTTTGGGTAATTTGGGTATTTTCAAAAGGCTTGAAATAATTTTGAACAAATTTGGGTATTTTGGATAAATTTGAGAATTTTGGTCAAATTTAGGGTCCCAATGGTACTTAGGTAATTTGGGGGTTTAGGGACAAAAGGCTAAGTTGGGCATTTTGGTAGAGTTGGGGTGCCAACCACCATAAATAAGTCATGGACCAATGGAATCCTCATTTAGGTCCTCTATGTACTGGTCTTAGCTAAACCCTAGCCTAGGGCTAGTGGGTTTAGGGGACCATCTACATGAGTCTCCCAAAGGATCAATGGATCAAGGTCAAGAAAATTTTGGGTTTGGAATTGTGAGTGATTGTGAGAGAGGTGATTGTTGGTGAGTGCCTTAGCTCTAGAACAACACCCATGGCCAACCCTAAGGTCCAACAGTCCTATAGGAACTCCTCTTAAGCTCCCCCATAGTGACCCCACCTACTAAGTGCTAGAGGTTAGGATCAATATGTAGAACTTCAAGTTGAGTAAAGAGGAGTTTAGAATTTCTAATGGTGAGAGTGCCTTTTATAGTTTTCTAAGAATAGTCAATAGGAAAGTCCTATGGCTAGATCGTATGCTACTAAATAGAAAGGCTAGACCTCAACCAAAAGTGAGGTCAACAAGGTGTGAAATGGGATTTGCTCAAATTTGGAGCATTTTGTTTTTGGAATCCAAAAGAGGAAGAACTAGGGGATGTCATAGATCCGGAGGAGAACCTTGGTGACTTCTCAGTCTACCCTATGATTTGCTTTCAGTTTTGAGGAGAAATATTTAGGTGTTTCATCCTGCCAATTTTATTAGTTTAAGGCTTACATTTGTGTGGAACGATCATACAAATAGTGTGGAATATGTGAAGATTTAGGTCGTGACGGACGACAACATCGAAATCCTAAGAGGAGTTAGGGCTTATATTGTACAACATGGTTGTTCAAAGGCCTAAAGATGACTTGATGATTTATGTTACACTAGGCAGACAACCTCGAAATCCTATTGCTTGTTGTTTAATTCTAAGGAAGAAAATTGGTTTAGTTGGGAAAGACAGGTTTTACTATTGAAGATGGCCATGCTGCCCACTATGCTAGCTCCAAGCTCCTTGCCGTGATGAGTTTAAGTTTTCTAACGTGTCCAGTTATGATGTCAAATCAGGTGACCCTATGGTTATAGTTCCTTAAAAATTTATTGGGGCATGTTAAAGTTGATTAGAGTGACACCGGTTAGGATCCCACAGTTCCCTCGTTCCGGCACCACTTTTTTCTATTGGATTCACTTAGTCCAAATGAATTTACTAAACTCAACTTAATGAGTTCCATAATTTCATTTAGACCGTGGGAAGCCTCGTTAGCAACCGTAGGTTACCTCCTCTGAGGGATTCCCGATCATCCGATAGAAACGACTTAATTTAGTTGTAGTTGTTGTTTTGTGTAATATTTGTGATTA